CTTGGTGACCTGGGTCTAACTGCAGGGATCTCTACTGTACCATACATTTCACCACCCTCCACAAGTGAGTGGTTCAAACTGAAAATAAAACTTACACTCGGACAGAGTGCGTCTCAAGAAAAAAATCCACAACCCTGTTACACCTGAAACAGTTTCTACGTAAGGCTGGACTGGAAAACAGTTAAAAATTTTATGATCAACTGAAGCCTTCTTTTGTTTCCCTTATAAGTACAAATAAAATTAGACTTCCTTCTAAGTCAAATTCCCTGCAAAATGTTTCATGCAGTCAAATTTTTCTATAGATGTAACAATTAATTAAACCGAACTATAGATTTGTGACAAATTAATGAAATGGAATATTGCAACCTTAAGGAAACCTATGGGGTTTATCAGTTTGTTTTAAAAATTAGCTGCCATCCAAAGATATCTCCATTTAAAAAAAAAAAAAAAATCAACCAAAACCAAAATCTTATTTGGTCTACAGTATTTTTAACTTCATGCAACAACAGAATTGCCATTCCTGACTACACAAGTGTCAAGAAGGATATTATTAGAACAGCTTTAAAAATACAAGATCTTTGAGTTTAAAACAAAATACACAACAAAATACAAATGGGAATAGCATTAGTGGCTTAAGAAATAACATAAATTAACAAAACAAAAAATCAGTACTAAACATTCTGTGCCCAACCAGTTTGTGGATATCCACAGAGACAAGAAACAAGCCTCCCAAGACATCAAAACTTTTCAGAAGGAGCCACTACTCTATTAAGCTACTTTTGTGTAATCAAACAAGCTACCACAGGACAGAGCTGTTAATCCTATTGCTTTTGGGGAAAAATATCATAAGCAGAAATCTCTTTAATATCCCCAATAAACTCAGATATTTCACGGTTGTGTACTAACGTTCTATCTGCCTTGCCACAAATAAATCATAAAAAGCCCAAGGAAAAAAAGATGAGAGGTTATCAAAGTCACTGTCTTTTCTATACCTGAATCAACTTTCCCCCATCATTCTTGACATATGGTTGCCTGTGGAGGTGATAATCTATTAATGGGCATTTTATGAATAAGTTAAGAAAGTCTATTTAAATGCTTCCCTGTACTTAGCCATAAGGAAAATTATCTCATAGTAACATGAAACCATCTCCTCTGCTACCATTCAAACTCACTACTTCTGGCAGGAACGGCCACAAGCTGGCAAATGAGTTATTTGGATTCTTCTTTGCAACAGATTTAAAAATTTCAATTTCTTTTTTAATCTCAGGTTTTTTTCAGTCTTTCTTCAAAGCTCTGACCTTCTAGACTTCAGATCACTTATTATTCTTCTCTAGACTCTCCTCAGCCAGATCATGCACTTCTTGAGGCTGAGACCCAAACTCAGACATAGTATTCAGCTACAGCCTTTCCTGTTCTATGCAAAACAAAAAAAAAAATTCACTTATCTTTTGAGATATACTACTGCAGAATATTATCTACAAGATGCTTTACATCCAGCTCAATCACTGAACACAAATGCCAGTAAACATAATTGAGATCAAACATAAAGTAGTGAAGTAAAAAACCACTCATGTGGTTTCAACTTTCCAAACAAGTAGCATGTTTAACTGCAAACTCTTTGAGAACTAGAAACTTTAAAGGAAAGTTGTTCTAATACCCAACACAATAGGTTCCCTAAACATTACTGTAACAAAACTAGCCCCAGTTTTATTTGGTGTATCTATATTATTTTATGAGAACCCACAACTTACTTCATACTGTAAGGTTAGAGGTGCCTTTTCATTCTATCTTCATCTTATATATCTTTTCACCCACTCTCCATTTTATTCTTCTTCTTAAATCTGTTTCATAGGATTAAGGTTTCTAAATTTATAAGTAATATTCATGCAGGATAAATTCCAGCATTGCTGCCTAGAAAATGATCGACCATCCAGCAGCTCAGGCCCTCACTTCACAGCCTTCAAAGTAATTCTGGTCTTACAAAGAGCAGTTCAGGGCACAAAGCTCCGAGTACAGAAAATCCCATTTGAATTATTTAATATTGGTGTAAATAATCTCTAGCAACAAGAGCAGAACCTTTCCTCCCAGCTGTCACACACTCCTTACTATATCAACAACCCTGGAATACTCTGAAAACCTTCCATCCAAACAATCCCTTGTCCCAAGAATTCATCCTGGGGAAGAAGCCAACCCATGTGCCTCTGGACGCCAGCTCACATCCAGGCCTCTGAGCACCAGCAACCGAATGGCGGGCGGAAGAGGGAAATTTCTGTCAATCCACTTGCCCCTACCCTTTTCAGATCCTTCTGTCTCCAAGTACTCATTGCCTAGATATCCCATATGAGTGCACAAGCAACTACTCTTGCCAACCTTGAATGGTAATATGGGGAGGGAAAAGCTTTAGCAATTGCTATTCTCTTTATTATAGGAATTATTATATGATTATTAGAAGATTTTTAGTATTGGCACTTAGGGTAGCGAAGCAATTTCTAAAGCCCTAAATTCACGATTTGAGTTGAACAATATGTCTTAAATTTGTTTTTCAAAGCCCCAGAGAATTCATAAGGGACACTGATGTAGCTGTAACCAACACAGAGCACTCGATTACAACCTCAATACAGAGCACCCCCTTTACCAGAGGGCTCCAACTTACAGGTGTAAGACAGCTTCAACATCCGTCAGAAATTCTTGTTGTCTGCCCCCTTTTAAAACTAGAAACTGGGTGTAGAACTGAAGGCTTACCTCCTGGGAATCAGGACTGCATTTCCCTAAAGACTTATAGGAACTGAAAGGTTTCCAGGTATGTCCTCAGAATCATTAAGGTTATGCTCCTTGACAGGTTTCCACAGTAAGGTTACTTTTAAAGCTTAGATTTACCTTGTCTTGAAGGACTGAGACAAAACACCAGAACATGGATTTGCATTAGAGCCACGAGTCAATTAAAAGCACCTCACTATTTTTCTGACTTATGCCACTTTGAATTTGCATTATTCTTTCTGTTGACTTGGTTTAGTATTAAGGATAGTTTCCATTTTAACTGTGTCAGCAATTTTTTGGGCTTGACCTTTACTAAAGGTACAGGTCTAAATGAAGTAATAGCTGTACTTATACAGTAAACAAAACTTAATTACTTACAACTCAAGGAAGAACTAGTTAGCTAAAGAACAAAACCACATCAGAAAATAAAAACTCTAGAACAAGCTCTGCCTTAAGACCTGAGCATTTCAGTATTTCCAATGAATAAGAAGTTGGCTTTTAAATAATACGAGAATATCCCCACACACTTCCTAAATACTTGCACCCATACTGGCAATGTACCAACCTTTCTGGTTGGCAGGTGTTCCAGGTGATTGTCCCTCTCCCTCACATGGGGAAGATATTCAGGATGGGGGCAGAAGCAGCCACACGACGTAATTTACCATTTGGAATCAAATCTAACAACTGACACAGGCTAAAACATTTTTGAAGTTCAAATGACTTACAGCAGTTTCACAAACACCCCCCCTTTGGTATGAAAATTGATTTTTTAAAAAAATCCTGCCTCCTGCCACTGCTTTTCCCTCTCTTCTCTCTTATACTGCAGTTTATCTGACCAGCTCAGCTGTACTGATGTTATTGTTCCGAGGGCCACAATATAAACTAGTTATTGGAGTAACTCCATAGAGATTTGTTTTTTATGGCAGAAAATAATCGAGAAATTAAATTCCGTGCACAGCTGCACCACCACAAACTGGGCAACACAAGCCAACGAGAAGCTTCTTAACCTCACTTTGCTGCTGAAAGTGTGTGTTTGTTAAATCCCACTCTTCAGGTATTTCAGTTTCTCAACCAGCTGAGAGTTTCTCCTTACTCAGGGAAGTTGGGACTGGACTCGCATTACTCAAGGCATTTAATCACCCTGCTGGGTGGGTGTAAAATAGATGGTGCCCTGCTCAGTTTTGCCTGCCTTAAGCAAGTAACTCCTTAAGATGAGGGAATCAATCTCACTTCTTCTGAACATCCATAGGGGTGGAATCCTTCCCCATTTCTCCCTTCTGACCATCTCCCCAGCACGAGCTCTAGTACTTGTCAAACTTCTCAACTCGTTAATTCCACTATAACCCACTATGCTATTAATAAATAAAATGGATTAAAAAAAATTGTCTTTGGTGAGTTGGGAATCAAACTGGACGCCCCTGAGAGCTGCTGATCAAAGCCAGCTCATTTTTGCCTGCTAGAGGCAGAAAGGAGAGGTCACCAGGCAGGCTTGGTCCCTCACAGGACCGCTCACAGGTGAGAGGTCCCGTACGGCTTGCACACACACCAGGGAAAGCTGAGCTGAGATAATCCCCAGCGAGTTCAGAACAAACCGGCAGAGCTCCTGGCGTCTGCATTTCCCTCCGGAGCAGAGCCGGTGCAAGGCATCTGGCAATTTGGTCTGGCTCGGATGCCTACAGTGCCTGGATTTGCAAAACACCTCGCGTTGTTAAGGCGCAGTTTGTTCCTTCCCCCTCCCGAAAAAAACATCTCAGAAGCGTTCGCAACTCACGCTGCAGCCCCGGCAAAACAGGTAGTGCCGCTCGCCCTCCGTGGGATTGGGAAGTTAAGTAATAAGCCCCAAAAACACAGGAAGTATGTAAGAAAGGCACAAACCAGAGGCCTGACATCCTCCGTGCCCCCACAGTGCCCCGTCCGCCAACATTTCCTCAGACCCCTTGTGCAAAGACGGGGCACGTCCACCGAGGGAACCGAACCCAACCTTGGGGGGTTCAAAATGCATTCCCAGTGTTTCCAAACCCACCGCGGGGAACCGATGGCCAAGCCCCCGCACCAAAGCCCCGCCGGCCGCAGCCTCCGCAGGGGGCACCAGGCCGGGGGTCCCCGCGCCCCGCCCGCGCCCCGCGCCCTGTCCACGGCGGCCCCGCTCCTGCCCCCGCCGGCTCGGGCCGCCCCCGGCACGGCACGGCCGGGCCCGGGCCCCACGGGCGGGCGCCGCAGCCGCCGCCGTGCGACGGCCTCACCTCCTCCGGGATGGCCGGGTCCCCGCCGCCGCCCCCCGCGTAGCCGGCGCCGAGCGCGGGCGGCTCGGGCTCCATGTCCCCGTTGAAGAGCGAGGCCCCCTCAGCGCTGCCGCCGCTGCTCAGCGCCGCCATCTTGGGCCGGAGCGCCGGGGCGAGGGCGGGGCCGGGGGCGGCCGCGTCCCCGCCGCCGGGGCGGCCCCAGCCGCGACCCGTAGCGCGAGGGGTGGGCGGCGCGCGCGGCCCCGGCCCGCTCCCAGCGCCGCCGCGTCACGGCCCGGCACCGTGACGTCACACACGGCACCGCCGCGCGCGGGCCCGCCTGACGTCACCGGGAAAGCACCGTGACGTCACGGCGCGGCCGCCCCGCCGCCCTGGGAACTCGGACGTAGGCGCGCGCCCCGCCTCCCGCCGAGGCCCCGCCCCCCCCGCTGACGCCGCAGCGCCCCCTGGCGGCCTCCGCCGGGCCGGTGCCGGGGGCGGGAAGCGGGAGCGGGAAGCGGGAGCGCCGGGGAAGGGTTGGGCATCATGGCAGAGGGGGCTCCGGGTGCTTCCCAGCCGCGGCCTCAGCAGCAGCGGGGAAACCCGAGATAAATGCGGGAGCGCGGTGCCGGCGAGGTTGAAGCGAGGAACGAATGGGATGTCGGGCATCCCTCGGCGAACAGCGGCGCGGCGGCTTTGGGGTGAATCCTGGCAAACAGGAGCCATGCGGCAGCGACAGACGCGCTCCCAAAAATCACACGTTAACCTGCTGGCTGTAACTCTGGTTAGAACTGAAATAATCGATTGCCAGGATCGATAAAACATCCATATTTTTCCCACTGACAGCACTGGGCCGTGGGCTGCCCGAGCTGGCGCTCTCTGTTCACAAAGGGCGCTCCAGGAGAGGGAAGGGTCGAGTCTGGCTCAGCAGGAATCAGGACCCTTTCCGTCCCCTCCTAACAACTCTCTCCCGTTCTCCAACTGGCTTTGTCCAGTCTGGAGGTCTGAGAGCAGATCCCAGTGGCCGAATGTCCATCTCGTCTTCCCTGTGTGTGCATGACAGGACGTGCAGCACTTTCCTCGACAGCCCGGCTTGCCAGGGATAACGCGTGGGCTCACACTGCAGGACCTGCCGTGGCCTTCCGTCCCCTGGTGCGAGTGACAGAGGCACCGAAGCGGTATTTTGGGAAGTGCCGCTCCCTCCTCGAGCTCAGGAGCGAGGAGGAGCTGAACTCGGCTCTTACTGCTGCCCCCAAAGATGCTCCCCACCTTGTCCTCGGTGCTTGTGACCATCTTTCCCCAAAGTGCCAGTGTAAAGTAAAACCTGGAGCCGTGTCGTATCCTTGTGTGCCACACCCACTGAAATGCTGCTTACACACGCACACACAAAGCGTTCGCTAAATCAGGGGGTTTGAGCTGCTGTCTCGCTGAAAAGGTCGTTACTACAGACACCGAAATGGTAGCACTATTCTAATGCATTGCAAAGACAAGCTGCTGTACCAGAAGAGCAGCAGGACTTCAGAGAGCACAAACGCTGTTCTAACACAACCTGATGTATTTTATGGTAGCCAATTAAAATATATTAAGTTGAAATATGCAAGTGCAAACGTCCTTATCTTTGTTTCGCTTCAGCTGTGAACATGAAAACATACAACCTCTTAAATGTAATAATCCTGGTGATAGATTTGAGATTTATATTTCACCTTTCACGCTGGGGCCATCGGCGTGGAAAAGTCAAGTTCAGTATCAGCAGTGCTGCAACTGGTAAATAAACACAACTTCAATTCACTGTGCAGACACAGGAAAAACATGATGGAGTTGGAATTACCAGACCCTGGTGTTATGGGGGAAAGGAACTTTGGGCATGAATTTAGCTGAGGGTCTCTCCTGTAGAGAGCTATGCAGTATTAAACACTTGAACACAGAAATAAGCAAAATAATCCGGTTAATATTAGTTAATATTCCAGTGGATTTTAATTGATTATCTGACAAGCTACACTTTCCTAAGAGAGGAGCCTGGGGTTTCCTATGACTGGTGGCCTGAAGCGCAGTCAACAAAAAGACTGGAGAAGTACATAGACTAAGCAGTTCACCAAGTTCAGAAATTTCTCTCTAATAGCCACAGTAATGAAAAGGATAATTATCAGCAATTCCTGCTATGTGATGGGAATGTGCGATGGTAGTGAAAGATGCACACAGACCCTGGAAAATAACACCCATGCTGAGAACTAAACACTGGGACAAATCTCTCCGATCTCTGAAGGAAAAGGCAACAGAGGTAATAGGAGATGGTTCTCCATGCACACGGTCTGTTGTGGAAAGGCCAGCAGAGTAATATAAATCAACTAACAGAGCAAGTCCATTCATTTCCATGAAATTTATACCAAGGGATAATTTAGTCTCAATGTACAGAAGATAGTCATAGCTCTTGTTTTATTCCTTAAGCAATTTATGTCCAGGGCATAGCCCCAGCAGTGGAATTAGTAGACTAGCAATCTTGTAGCTTGTAATACCTTTCCCAATGCTATTAGTACACTTGAGTGCCTTTCTTCTGAGCTTCTGATTTTTTTCATAATATTTTCATTCACATAAAATACTAGACTTTCTTATTACATTTGATGTACCACCAAAGAGCTGCAATTCTAAACCATAATACTGAGAACTGGAAACACAGCAGAATTACCACCTACAATACAAGAGATAAAAAAGCAACACCTAAAGAACTATTTTAAGGAGGAAGGAGACAGAAAATCTACTATTTATGCTATACTTTCCTTTTGATTGGGGAAATCCACACCTAGTAATAAATGGAATTCCCTACTGCTTCACATAGTGGCCCTGACTAATCCATCATGATGAAAGATAAATCATTAGTAACTGTAACTATTTCTTGGTGATATGAAATCCTATCTACTGATAAGTGATGGCATCAACATCTTTTATAGAGACCAGCTTTCATTACCAAAATCAAACTTACAACCTAGAGGTGAAAGGCAGGTTTCTGCTATCAAATCTGTGGGCTGCTGGCTGCTTGGCTCCTACAATGCAGCACAGCCAGTTTATCTGGTATTGCAGCAGGTAATGCATACTTGTAAATGTAAAACTTGCCACCTCCCATCAAACTCTTGGTTAATGCATTGGGGTTTGACCCTCCTCAGAATTTTTTAATTTTAATTTGGGTCAGAAAACAGGTCCAGCTCTTAAAAGACAAAGACTCTTCAGCTAGACTGCCCACGACCAGAGCATTTGCCTGATCTAATCAACACCTGCACTTTCAGAGAACAATGTTTTAATGAGCCAGTAAAAAAAATTATATGGCTACCTCACCGTGAGCATTTGAACACATCTTTCGTGATCTTTATCTCTTCCTACCCAAAAAAGTGTGAGATACTCCAAAATATGAATGTCCAAAAGACATACTAGATGAAACTTAATATTGGTCTCATTTATTATATTCTTTCAATAGAAGACAATATCTCAAAAAATCCTAGCCTTCCATTTTCTTAATCAAAGACTTACAAAATTTGCATATTGATATGATAATTGGTATGATTTTTTAAAATGGTGTGAAAATTTGATACACATTGAACTCTGGATGTCTGAAGTGCTTTTAAAATTTACCCAAATTTCAAAAAACTGCTTAGCCTTTTCACACACTGAAAAGACAGTGTTTGTCCCATACATGGTAGCATTTGTGCTTGGCCCATGCATGTTTGAAAGTGCTGGGTTAAATTCTCAGTCTTAACTGAGGAAATACAGGTCTGCATGATTTGTGAAAGCACAACTCCTGATGACACCAGTCATGTTCCCTGTTATCTTAGACCGAAAATGTGAAGCAGAACAAATATTAGGCTGTTGTCCAGAGTTCAGTCATTTTCTGATTACTAGTCAGAATAATACACACTTAAGAAAATTACTTTGCTCTCCAGGAAAAGAATGCTGAAGATATTTTTTGAGGAAATAACCCATATGTTTTTTTTCCCTCTCTTTAACACCTATATCTCACTCAGTTTAAGATATACTATACGTATTTTTGTATTTCTAGGAATCGCTGTCTGATTGATGCAATGTGAGGTAATAGAGAAAACAAGGCTGCTCTTTTTTTTTTCCCCTCTTTTCCACCCCCCCTCCTTTAAACTGTTCCTGTACAGATCGTATGTATTGTTTCCTTTGGAACTTCCTGAGAACTAGTTCAGGACATTTACCAATCTGTGACTCTGCTAAACCTGAAAAATTCATAACTACTGTGAGAAATTAGGTAATATTGTCATGATTTGAACTTGCAGCTGAACAGTATCATCTGTATTTTTTTCAGCTGATGGAGACTTCATAGCTCTTTGCCTTTGAGTTAAATACATGAACAGAAGTGATGAGATCGGGTAGAGACTACTAATAGAAAGAAGGTAGGGAAAAAAGAAAATGTGAATCTTCCGTCTTCTTAATTCAATTTTCATTCTACCATTAAAAGCAATGTTGATCTAACAAGATTTCTTTTATATATAAATAATAACCTATTCTAGATTTTCTTGTAATAATATTTGGAATATTTACATAGCTTTCATTTGATTCAAGTGTAATTTATTTTAGAGTCATTATTTATAAAACTGTTGTTGTTCTCTCCCTTAACCACAGCCTTCAGAAAGTATAAACCAAAACATTTTCCTTTGGAGTCAGGGAGCAGGAAAGGTGATGGGACTGCGAGATGGGAGTGATTTTCATATAGTTTGCTCCCATACCATGCACGTTCTTTGGTGTCACAAGAGCACAGTGCTGACCTGTTACCTTCCTACTCCATCTGAGTTTGGGGTCCAGCAGTGCGTGTGCTGTGTCACAGTGCTCCACCCCTCCCTCTGCTCCTTCCCCCCTTTGCTCCCATACTCACGTGGGAAGCTGAGAAAGCAAACGTTTCATGGAACAGCAGTGTAGATACCAACAGATGTAGCATATAAGGGACCATCAAGAGAAAGCATGAGCCCCAAAAACACTATTAAGAGAAGTAGCAGCCAGTGGAACAGGAGGGGCAAAGACAGGGTAAAAGATTAGATGGAGGGAGAATGCAGTAGAAGTAGACACTGGAGAAGAAGATGCAGCTCTCCTAGGAAATGAGAAGCAGATGAAAATAGGGAAACAAAGAATTTACAAACACTGGTTTT